ATGCCAATTTAATAGAAGAAAGTATTCTTGCATTGAGGGAGTACTTGAGTGGAGGCCCAATGTCCTGCTACCTTAATACTAAACCTATAAATATATGCTCAAAAATCTATTTCCCCATCCTCACATATAAATATATTTGCACATGTACATGCCTTTATCTAGACCTCTATAAATGCCCTTTGCCTCCCAGCTCTTCCCTTAACATTCCTCCTATCCCACTATCATGCTCACTCCCCACCATGGTTTCAGCAATTCCTCTTTGTTACATTACCCTTGACTAATCTCTTTTTAGTGGAAAGCATTTCTGTTTTTTTGCAAATTTTACAGTATATAGAAACTTGTTGTGTTGAATAAGTTCTGACTTACAGTGATACTATAGGACTTAAGATTTCCAAGACTACAAATCTTTATGGAAGCAGACTGCCATATCTGTGTCTCTTGGAATGGTTCGTGGGTATGACCTGCCCACCTGTTGGTTTGCCACCGAGCACTTTAACCACTGTGCCACGAAGATGCCTATGTATGTGTAAATAAGTATGTATCCACACATCACATACATTTATATAAACATAAAATTCTAAACAAATATTCCGGAACTAGTTTTCCAATAGTATTAAAAGACCAACCAAACCTGTTCCTGTTGGGTTAATTCTGGTGTAAGGTGATTGTGGTATTTCAGAGTAGAACTGCTAAGTAGGGTTCTTGGGCTGTCCTTTTCACAGAAGCGGATAGCTGGGCTTTGCTTCATGGTGCTTCTAAGTGCTTTGCACCACTAATCTTTAGGTTAGTAGTTAAGCATGAACATTAGCACCTCCCCCAAAGCTACCAAACCCGCTGACTCAGAGCAACCCTGTGTGACTGCTCCCTAGTGTTTCAGGGGCTGTGAATCTCTGGGACGCAGACAGCTTCATCCATCTCCAGTCGTGCTGTTGGTTGAGTTCCAACTACTGACCTTGTGGTTAGCAGCCTGACTTGTGACCCATGACACTATTAGAGCCCAGCACCATCCAGAGGACCCGGGATAGTTATTAGGGAATATTTACGTAGTACTTTGTGCTCCACCTAATCCAAAGAGAGGATTTAAGATCATTTACACATAAGTACACACATGGGTACATCACATTGTTCATTGAAAAAAGTTTCCTGGGTTGGGTTTTTTACTGTAACTAAGCACTGCATTTAGCTTTGGCTTCCTTAGAAGATAGTGAAAAAAGGAAAACAAATTGGATTTTAGAATGCTTGTCTGCACAAAGGAAGCGTCAAGTGTATCTGTTCGAGTGTATTTTTGGCACCACATACAAGGAGACGTGTTTATATGGTTTCTTGCTGGATCATAGGCCAGGAGGCCTGATGGTGCAGAGCTCGAATTGCTTGACTAGTGGCTGACCGGACGGTGTCGAATCCATCTACCAACTGCTCCGAGGGAGGGAAGCGGGGCAGTCTGCTTCTGTAAAACTGACCGTCTTAGAAACTCGATGGGGCCGTTCTACTCTGTCATGTTGGGTCATTATGAATCAACTCAGTGGCAACAGACTGTGTGATAGATTATTCCAAAGCACTTAGTGAATTAAAATAGCAAATATTTATCAGTTTATGTTGGTCAGGAATTCGAGTTGCTTAATTGGACGATTCTGGTTTAGGGTTTCAGTGATCAGAAGTCTTGACTGGCCTGGGAAGTTTGTATTCAGGATTGCTTGTTCAAAACAGGGGACCTGGCCGGCACATAGGAGGCATAGCAGTTCTGAAATCCAGCGGTACAGGCATCAGATGCTCCTGCCTTTATTAGGACTGAAACTTGGAAATAATTCTTAGTTTTAGCCTCTAGAGGTCCCTTGGAATAATCTCTGTCTACAGTTTGCACATATGCTCAATCTGCTTCCTTTTTGGTAGATATTTGGAAATCCATAATCATTTTGTACTGTTTCTGTTCATTGTAGCTGAATGTGTTTTTGCCAGTACACTTTTTTTGAATCTTTGTTGGTTTTCTATAAATCTTAGAGACATTCATTTTGTCAGGCACTAGCATGCCAACAAATCTGGAGACAGCAACTTTAATAATAAGCTTCTAAAAAAACTTATTAATTGAAAAGATCTGTGGGAACCATTCTAAAAATGCCTGGAGGGCCTTTTATCTTGAGTGAATGGAACTCTGAGATACTACCTTTGGTTTTTCTGCGGTCTTAACCGAGAACTTAGCACTATCCCGTAGCTTCGTTTTTAGACCTTGTTTTCTTATTAGTCCTCTGGATGTATCTGTGTCTGGAAGCCATTTGTTGTTGTTCTTTTTTTTTTTATGGAAGCCATTTTTTAATTTTAGCATTGTTTGCTATTGGGAGAGGCAGAGAATTTTCAAAACCTACGAATTCTAACTTTTTTGTGTCTGATCATCCTTTCTTTAGTGCAGCTTTCTCCTCTTGCATGTTACTGTAACACCCAGAAGCAATCAGGTGGTGCTACCTTAAGCTTCTTGTCTGGAAATACCCTTACAGATCATGCAATTTATTAGCTATACTTTCTACTTTCTTTATTACTGTAGTCATGCGAAACTTTCTGGCACAACATATTTTCCTCCAGTGCCCATATGGTTATCCTTTAAATTTTTACCCATAGCCTTACTCAGCAGCCATCAATGGCTTCAAACAACAAATATTTGTTATTTCATGGTTTCTGTGGTGACGGATATAAAAGTGGCTTGGCTGACTATTTTTGTCTCAAGATAGTTCATAGACTAGCAGTCATGACATTGGTGAGGGCAGTGGTCATCCGAAAGTTTCCATAGACCTGAAAGATCTGCTTCTAAGTTGGCTCGCTTATAATATTGTTCCCAGAGGCCTCAGTTTCTTGCCACTTGGCTCTCCATAAATTTCTTGATGTGTCCTTATAGCATAGTAGCTGGTTATCCCCAGTACTAATGATCTAAGAGGGGGGATCAAGAAATGGGGTCACAGTACCTTTTATGACCTAGACTGAATGAACACACCAGTCCCTTTGCTCTATTCTGTTAGAAGCTGAGAGCAGCCCTGGGATGTGGTGGTCTCCTAACTACAATATCAGTGATTGGAACCTCGCAGTTGCTCTGAGGGAGAAAGATGAAGATCCCTCCTAGAAAGATCAGTCATGGAAACTCAGGGCGGATCTCCTCTGCCCTATCTGATTGCGATAGGTCAGAATTGACTCATTGGCAGTGGCGTGTTCACTATTTTGGGGGTGCAATGACTGTTGACTGAGTTAGGAGCCAGTCACTAAATCCCATCTATGATCAGAGAGGAATTATGCTCCTCTTGAGGTGAGGAGTATCAGAATTGTGGAACATACCTTAAAGTTGACTATCGAGCTCTGACAGAAGGCGTGTTGCAAATGTGATTGAGTCCCAGTTAAAATTTTATGAGCATAAAAACAGCCTTGTCTAAGAATATGAAACTGACATATCTTTCATGAAATAGACATTTTTTCCTTTATCCTGTTAATTAAAAATCATTATTGGGGACTCATACAGCTCTAACCACAATCCATACACCCATCCATTGATTCAAACACATTTGTACATATGTTGCCATCATTTTCAAAACATTTTCTTTCTTCTTGAGTCCTTGGCATCAGCTCCTAATTTTTTCCCCCTCCCTCCCTCCTTCCTTCGTGAACCCTCGATAATTTATAAATTATTTTTTTTCATGTTTTACACTGACCAATGTCTTCCTTCACCCACTTTTCTGGTGCCCATCCCCCTGGGAGGGGGTTATATGTAGATCATTGTGATCGTTCCCCCTTTTTCCCCCCACCTTCCTGGTATCACAACTCTCATTATTGGGCTACCCTGTTATTTTCAAGGGGACTTAAGCATGTTTTGACTTTCCAACTTGCAAAAAAGATAAAAAAAGACAAAAGGAAGGCCATAGGCGATTTTGAGATGAATTTTAGAATCCTTATTAAAACTGATTTTCTTCTGACCTCTTTTTGTTGAATTTTTAAAATTGAAAGTGAACAAAATTTGTGTTCAGTAATTGATTTTTTTGACCAAATACCTGCCAAATCTTCTTTGAGAATGAATAAATGTCGAGATTGTCAGAAATAATTCTTACTATAGCCAACAATTCTTTAGCCAGACTGTTGGGATTGGATAAACTTAATTCTATTAATCAAGTTTCATTATTTGCTTTTATAAATTATAGATGAACAATTATTAACAAGCAATGAAAGTGAAGATGATGAGAATTTCCAAAGGAAAAGTAAAAAAAAAAAAAGAAATGTTTTGAAATCCCCTGAGGTGAGTCATTAAGTGATAACTATGTAATCATATAAATGAGTATGTTTTTTAAGTTGAAAACTTTATCTTTTGTTTTATTTCGTATCAGAAAAATTGCGATGCTGATTCTCCACTTCATGTTACCAAAAAGCGCAGAGTTCCTCCAATTAGAGTAAGTAAATAACAGATAATGTATAGTAAATAAAATTCCTTTGGGATAAATATTTAAAGGAAAAGATATGTATAGGTGAATATAGGTATATTTGAGAAGTGATTAATGGAAAAAATTATTATATGATTAATAAAGATGGAATAATTCCCACCTGATTAGTATTTCTATTTCATGTTGTTGTTAATTTTCAAAGGTATATTTTGCAGAACTATTTTCTGCACACAATATACTCATAAGCATTAAAATGTTTATGCTACCATCAAAGGCTGTCCTTATTTTCCTTTATTTTTTTTTTATTTAGTTTTTCAAACTTCCTTTAGTACTTATAATGTATCTACTTTGTTAGATGCTAAAGGTACAGAAAAGAATATACCGTAGTCATGCCCTAAGTAATGTAATTGGATAAAATGTTGAATTTCTGAGTTAAAACAATGCTAGGTATTAGTTGATCAGACAATTTGGGAATTGGGCAAAACACACAGCATGTGATGTGACAGGAATGAGTATTTATAGCTCAAAGACTACCCATCAGCCACTCCACAGAAGGAAGATGGGCTCTGTAAAGATTAATAACTTCCATCTGTCTAGTTCTACTCTGTTCCACAGTGGCACTATGAGTTGGAATGACATGACGGCAGTGGATTTTTTTGATTGGGTTAGAGATAGAGTGGTAGGCTTCATAATCAAAATTTGTTAATTGTTCAGTTTGGTTTCTTGACTTGAAAGATTCTTGCATGTTTGGGCTGCCTTTGATGGTCATGTTTGCACGCTTCATTATTTTCTGTGACGCCCTTGAAGATCTTCCGAAGGCCACACTGTTCAATATAAGTGTCTATTAGATATATGTAGGTGTGTGCACATGTGCATTTGTTTACTTATATATATATTAATACTGCTTATATTTCCCAATTTAGTATTCCCCAACTTAAATGGTTTTTAAATTCTTAAGTATTTTATACTTATGGTTCTGAATTGTGAGAGGAATTTTATTTTTCTAATAAAAAAATGTTGGCCAAACACTTCAATAGAAAAAGTGAAAGAAGAAGCAACTCTTTAGGAATGTACTATGACACAGCAACTCTTTCTCAGGAACGATTTTTTTAAATTATTCTAGTCAGAATTGTCATCTAGTGATGAGAGTGAAAGTTCTCTCAAACTGCATCCCCATTTAGAAGATGTCAAGGGTCGAAACAGGAATCCGAAAAGAGATGTTGGAGTTCAGAAAGGACACAAGCACTTCAAGGTACACGTTTCCTACTTCCTCAATGATAAGTTTCTTTATTACACAGGTTATCTTATTAGATAGATAAAACATTACTAAACTTTTATTTAATTTTATTTGGAAGTTCTATTTCTCTATGTCTTAGCATGTATTTTCCACCTAGAAAAAACTTGACACATTTTGACCCCAATTTTCTCTTTTTACTGAAATTTATATTTTCATGCTGTACTACTTTTTTGTGTTCTTTTGTTTCTTCATATCTTGAAGTTTTATCCAGTATTTTATTATGTTGAATGACTAAATGAAGAAATTTAAGTACATTGAGAATTAATGGTTCAATATTTTTTGATATAAAGGAAAAAGTTGAGATTTAGAATGTTGTATTTTTATAGTCACTATATTGTTTGTTAATTTAGTCCTTTGACTTCTCAGCAGTGTGTGTGTGTGTGTGTGTGTGTGTGTGTGTGTGTGTGTGTGTGTGTGATGCAACATGTTCCTGGCAAAATTAGTCAGAAGACTCAGTAGATCTTATGCTTATAAAACACTTTAACTAGCTGACATGCTGACTTAATCTTTATTTTATGTATAACAGAATTAGTAGAAGAAATTTTAAATAAATACCCTACTTTATAATTCCTTGCACTTTCCTATTTTCACTATCTTCTTAAAAACCTTAACAAAAAAGTCTAATTTTCAGAAATACTGGCCATTATTTAAGAAAAATGAATTATTTTAAGCTTATTTTCATGTTTTCTTATTTACTCCACCCTAGCATGTAGCTAGACAGTTTTTAGATGATGAAGCAGAACTTTCCCAAGAAGATGCAAGTTGTGTGTCTTCAGATGAAAATGACGAGTCAGAAAATGGACAAGATGCCTCGTTGCTCCATTTCTTAAATGACGAGACCCAACTCTCACAGGCTATTAATGGTAATTGTTAGGAGGGTGCTTGTATTACTTTTAAACTTTCAGTTATTTTTAGTGGTTATATTTAAATATTCAGTTTTCTAAGAAACAAACTTTCTTTTTAAGGGGATTAAACTTGTGTATTTGTCCATTAGCACACAAATTCTGAATATGTCCTTTACTTTAAATCTAGTTGTTTACAGGCTTCTACTAATTTGAATATTTCACTACAAAATGATCTAGATGACTCCCTGTGAAATGTTAACAAACATTTAGTGTCTAGTGTGTGCGTGGTACTACATGCTTGAGAAGACATCAGTGAAAAAAAATGGACCAAAATATCTGTCCTCATGAAGCTAGTGAAAGGATTCACATTAAACGCCTAGTGAAGGATTCACAGAAGAAAATAATAAAATGAATATGATAAAGATTTCAAGTGGTTGGAATTGGGGATATTAATAATGAACAGATAGCAAATTTCAATAAGGTGATCAGTGATATACCACTTTGAGAAATGATACTTGCTAAGGGGATGAACAAGAAAGTCTTTCAAAGGCAAAATTCTTAAATTTGTTTTCTGAATAATTATTTTTGCCTACCTTTCAATAGAAGTTAATATCTTTTGTATAAAATAATGTTATAAAGCTTGAATCATAAATTATATAATAAATCCAAGTTAAATAGTTTTCTGTTTTTCATTTAGGTAAATTTTCTGTATTACTATATCATAAAATGATTGGTTATGTCAAAGGTAGATAGTTTGCTGTTTTACTCTTTTGAATTTTTATTCTCTTTACACAGATTCTGAAATGAGAGCTTTTTATGTGAAATCTTTACACAGTCCCGTGATGAACAATTGCTATAAGATGGTCCATAAGACACATAACAAAATAAACATTTTCTCACAGGTATGACCTATAAACATATGAGAGGCCTCAAAAAATTCACGGGAAATGCAATGAAAAGATAATTGATATCATTCATGAACTTCTTTTGATTCTCCCTTGTATAATAGAGAATTTCTTGATGATCATGTTGAAATGTTATTATTAATGAAACCTCCTTTCTGTTTCTACATCTGAACTATCGGAGCTATTTGGGATAAGTGCTGCCAGAGTCAGTAAGATGAACTAAGTAAATTTTCAAGATATTTTCCTGTATAATTTACTCAAATTATTCTGTCTTTGATTTGAACTAGTGAGAATATGCTCTAATTTTTTTTCCAGTTAGAATATTTACAAAGGAACTAAGTAGAATTTTATCTTGTATAAGTTAAAATTTTAATTTATATATGTTAATGATTTGACAATTTCAATTTTTAAAATCATCTTATTAGGGGCTCATACAATTCTTATCACAATCCATGCATCCATCAATTGTGTAAAGCACATTTGTACATTCATTGCCCTCATCATTCTCAAAACATTTGCTCTCCACTTAAGCCCCTGGCATCAGCTCTTCATTTTTCCCCCCTCCCTTCCTGCTGCCCCCTCCCTCATGAACCCTTGATAATTTGTAAATTATTATTTTGTCATATCTTTCACTGTCAGACGTCTCCCTTCACCCAGTTTTATGTTGTCTGTCCCCCAGGGAGGAGGTCACATGTAGATCTTTGTAATCAGTTCCCCCTTTCTACCCCACCTTCCCTTCACCCTCCTGGTATCCCCACTCTCACCACTGGTCCTGAAGGGATCATCCTCCCTGGATTCCCTGTGTTTCCAGTTCTTATCTGTACCAGTGTACATCCTCTGGTCTAGCCAGATTTGTCAGGTAGAATTGGGATCATGATAGGGGGTGTGTGTGTGTGTAGGAAGCACCGAGGAACTAGAGGAAAGTTGTATGTTTCATTGTTGCTACATCGCACCCTTACTGGTTCATGTCCCCGAGACCTTTTTGTAAGGGGATGTTCAGTGACCTACAAATGGGCTTTTGGTCTCCACTCTGCACTCCCCACCTCATTCACAATAATATGATTTTTGGTTCTATGATGCCTGATACCTGATCCCTTCGACACCTCGTGATCGCACAGGCTGGTATGCTTCTTCCATGTGGGCTTTGTTGCTTCTGAGCTAGATGGCCCCTTGATTACCTTCATGCCTTTAAGACCCCGGATGCTTTATCTTTTGATAGCCGGGCACCATCTCGTGTAAGCATTTTAGATTATGTATCATAATAATAGCATTTTATAGTTTTTAATTTATCTTTATAAATTGTCATGTTCTTCATGATAATATGGTCATTCATATCTCTGTATTTCCATTGTGCTTATTATATTGTTAAATCCCTGGGTTAAATCAATTGGGCTTCTCTACTAACTTAAAGGTTGGCAGTTCAAATCCACCCTGCTGTACTGTGGAAAAGCTTAGTGACGTTTCCATAAAGAATACAGCTAAGAAAACTCTATGGAGCAGTTTATACTATGTACCACAGGGGTTAGCATCAGAATTGACTCAGTAGGAATATATATTATGTCACTTATATTGTTTATTAATTATTATTTACTCTTCTGGCTACCTGCACTAGATTGTAAATTCTTGAAAGGTAGATTATTCTTTTTGTTTGTCCTCAGACTCCCCATTTTCCTCCAGATTCAGGATATGTCAGCTAAGAAACATGGTCTAATAAAGTATGTAAAATGAATATTGAAGGTGCCATGTACTTGAACTCACAGCCATCGAGTCACTTTCCACTCACAGCGATCCCACTTAAGGCTTCTGAGACGATCGGTCTGCACAGGAGCATGCAGCTTCATCTTTCTCCCGTCGGGTGGTGGTTTTAAACTGCTGACTTTGTGGTTAGTGCTCAGTGCTTCCACAGCCCTGCTAGAAGTCCTTCATGCATTTGAAAAGGTATTTTAACTATGTTCATTATCTGAGACAAAATTTAATGTACCCTTCTATCTTTCCCGTAGATTCCAGAGCAAGATGAAACTTATATGGAGGACAGTTTTTGTGTTGATGAAGAGGAGTCTAGCAAAAGCCAATCAAGTGAAGAAGAAATGTGTGTTGATTTTAATTTAATAACTGAAGATTGCTTTCCAAGTGGATGTAAAAGATACAAAACCCGACAGGCAGTAATGCTTAAACAAAGGAAGATTCAACAAAATTGTACACGTGCTACAAAGAAATTTTCCAGAATTATTTTACCAGATGAATCAAGTGAGGAGGAAAATAATGGAAATATTCAAAGTAGTTCCAATATTGTGGTTAACCCCAGCACAGTCAACAAGAATGAACAAAAGGACCATTGTTTGAATTTGGTGCCTTCTGCATCATTATTTCAATCCAAGGTACATTCTAATCCAATTGATAATCAATCAACCAAGCAGCGACAACAGACATCACTTAACATCAATTCTACAATTTCTAAAGTCTTAGACTCCAAACTTCAGAGTGTTAATATAATAGGGTCTTCTTCATCGTCTTTCACTACTGTTGATTCACAGAAAGGCTGTAGAAATGTTCCAGTTCAGCTGAAGGTATGGATACAATTAAGAAAAAAGCTTTTATATGCTTATCAGGCTTTTCATTTATTTATTTTTGCATGTTAAATAGCTACGGCAAAGAAAATTTAGTGAGTGATGAAACTTCTTTGAACAAAAAAATAACACACTAAACGATTTGGCTAATTCACAGGATGCTTGTGTTTTAATTTTTTTGATGTGTTAAAACTTTCTTAATACTCTATTAGGAAACCTGCTATTGTATATACTCGAGTGTAAGCCGACCCAAATATCAGCCGAGGCACCGAATTTTACCACAAAAACTGCATTAAAAATGTACTGAAAAACGTGGCTTATACACAAGTATATACGGTAATTTTATTTTAAAGGAAAATTGGATTTTCTACTACATAAAATTAATAGAAATTAATTAATAGATATTACTCATGTATAAGTAGATGTTCAGAACTAGTTCTAGATTAAACTTTCATACCCCCTTAGAGGCTTGCCAATCTCTTAAAATTACTAGTAGTAATCCAGTTTTTAGCTTTTCTTATTTTACTATTGCTAAGGGATAGTATAAAAATTGAAATAGGATAGTAATAATTTAAGGACTTCTCTTGGATTATGACAATAACTGGATACCCATTTAAGTTCATTTGTTTTATTTTATTTTATCTTTATTTTTTAGCTCATTTTATTGGAGCTTTTATAACAATCTATACATCAATTGTATCAGTCACATTTGTGCATATGTTGCCATCATCATTTTCAAAGTATTTTCTTTTTACTTGAGCCTTTGGTATCAACTCTTCTTTTTTTCCTCCCTCCCCCAACCTCTTAGCGTCATGAACCCTTGAATATTACACCATCTGTGGTCTCCCTAATAATCTCTACTTTTATTATTAGACGTTTTTTCAATTCAGTTTTGTTTTATAATTATGTAATGCGTTTACATGGCTCCAAATGAATATCCATAATGCAGATTACACTTAGAAATGTTGTGTTTTCCCTCTTGTCCATGTCTTCTTCGCCTCCACAAATGCCATGTCAAAAGAATTCTTTTTCATTGTTTTAGGAAACATACTTTTATAATGAGATACATTTACAATGATGATTCTACCTAAAATAAACTTTTCTTCTCCTGCTTTTCTCACTTGAGAATAATAGTAGAGCTTACACAGTGGTGTATAGATACATAGTCCACATTACTTTGTACAACTGCGTAGTTCATTATGTAGGTGTAATTGACTCAGTTGTTTCACATTGATGGATATTTGGGATGTTTTTAGTTTTCTGTTTTTATAGTCCTAAAACAAATATTTATGTGATATCTTTTGCCAGTATAGCTTTGGGTGGTCTCTTTTAAGTGGGGTTGATGACTAAGAGGATAAATACATATACAGTGCTGCAGTTTCCCCCGCATAGGGGTCTGATTTTTATGCCCTTTATATATTAGAATAATACCTTAATTTCCCTCAGACCTTTGTGAATAGATAATATTGCCAATCTCAGTAGTAAATATAGTGTGTAGGTAATGTTTCCATGTGCATTTCTCTTACAATAGCAAATTGAAAACATCGTTTTGAGAGCATTTTAAGTTACTTGATGTTTTGTGGATCATGAGGGTGTGTATTCTGGCTGTAAAACCCACATGAAATCTGGGGGTCTGTTTGTTCTATACAAATTGTGAAATGATTTCTCCCCCTCCACCTAGTACCCTCATTTTTTTCTTTATTGACACGGGTAAATTTCAAAGATCAGGTATTGTGCAAAAGTCAGTGTTATGTGAACGATGGAGGATGAGTTTGTCACTGTGTAAGTGTCAAATTACAGCATACATGCCAAACCACTAGGAATCATGGCCCCAGCCAAGTTGTCACATAATTTTAACCATCATCATATGTAAGACTGGTGTTTTATCCCTTACCTTTCGTTACAGCCCGGTGGCTAACATTAATGTGCAAAGTAGATTTTTTACCGTTGTAAATGTGAAATATTGGAAACCAAGATAGTCCATAAGTGAGGAGAAGGTGTATCAAGCATGAGAAGTGTTTTTGATTTTATGTAATAGATGTATTTATTCATTACCCTTTTGGGCAGAGGGTGGGGAGTCCAGAACTTTTCCTGTTCCCAGTGCTCAGTTCTCTTCTCAAAAAAGGAGTTCATGATCAGTAGGATTAAAGGTCGCAAAGGAAATCTAGGTTTGAGCTTGCTTAATTTCTAGGATTCTCTCTCTTCTACCTCTGTGGATTTTATAACTTCTTGTTAACCTAGTTATGCATTTCGAAAGATTAAAAAAACAAAGAAGCATGTTATTTAGTGGTTTCAGCTAGCGAGACATTGTGATTGTTCAATCTTACAATTTTTATCAATATCTTAATAACACAACTTCCCTTTTTAATACTTTTCTCTCCTGTTAAAATTTGGATTTTTCTTCCACTTTGTCACATCTTTCCTTAGATCAAGCTGCTGCTGCTTGGAGTCATCAGAGTGGTGGCTTTTATTTTACCTCTGGTCCCTTTTGTCTGCAAGTAAAAAGATCATTAGCTATAAGAAAGGAAGTTTTGTATACAGCCTGATTCTGATGGATATTTTCCACTCTTTCAGGTTGGGAGCCCTCTGGAGGAATCTAGCACTTCTGTGGCATGTTGTTCCAGTTCAAGACCATGTTTGGCTGAGCCACATAATTCTTTTCACCTTCCACAGGAAAGGAAAAGAACACATATTCTTGTAGATAGTCGTGAAATCACTTCTGGCTCAGAAGTAATTTCTTCCTTAAGAGCAATTCATGGTTTAGAAGTAGAAGTTTGTCCTCTTAATGGTTGTGATTACATAGTGAGTAACCGCATGGTGGTGGAAAGGAGGTCGAAATCTGAGATGTTAAATATCAATAAGAACAAATTCATTGACCAGATCCAGCACCTGCAGAGCATGTTTGAGAGAATATGTATGATTGTGGAAAAGGACAGAGCAAAACCAGGTTTGCATCAAAAGTCTTTTGTTTATATGGCTCTAAAGGAACTTGACTACTGCTTGTTATGCTGCTATAAGGCTATAGGAAAGGAGCCCTGGTGGTGCTATTGGGTAAACATGGAACTGCTAATCACAAGGTCAGCAGGCAAACCCACCTGCAGCAACACAGGACAAAGATGAGACTCTAAAAAGATATATAGCCTTGGAAAGCCTATATGGAATCATTTTGACTTTGAATCGACTCAGTGGCAGTATTTTATTTTAAGGCTGCATAAAGCTCTTAAAAATAGCTTATTTGCTAATGTTTATGTAACTCCATAATTATTTTCCATATTCAGTGTGTTTAGATGTAGCTTATGAGAGTCAAAGGGAGGAAATTAAAGCGGGTCAATTATAAATACTTTTTCAGAAGTTTTGTGGTACACAGGGCACCTCGCAAGGACCAGAGTGGATAGGGACCTTACGTACGGTTCAGACAGCAGTTGGGGACAAGGAGCAGGATCCAGGAGTTGTTGAAGAGGCAGGATGAGCAGGAATTACTGAGTGAACCTTCCTCTGACTTGGTGTCCTCGGCATGTAGGTAGAGGTGCCACTTACTCAGGTTTGAATGAAAGAGAAGCAGCAGATTTTGAGTGGCAAGGAGAGGTCAGTTTTGAACTGTTAACTCGGGCGTTTTCCTTTTTCATCTGAGAAGTGAGGGTGTTCTTTCTGCTGGTGATCTCCTGGGTCTTCCCAGAGCTAATTTTCTGTCATATCGTCTTTGCCAATATAGCCTTTATGAGGGGAACAACTTCAGAATAACCAGAAGTGATAGATGAAAGTCATGGAAAATATTTTTATGTTTTTTTGGGGGGGGTTAGGAGTTGGGTATGGGCAGGTAGCATAACAGTGATGTTTAAATCATAGGGGAAACTGACCAGGAAACATAAAGAAGCTAATAAGCAAGAGTAAGCGTATGCAAGGGATTTGTTGAATAACTTTGGAATAAATACATAAAGTACTTTTCATAGGAGTTCAAATGAACAAAATCCTTCAATAATAGCACTATCATGAATTAGAATTGGAGGTGAATACAATAACATGGCCTTGGCCTAAGAAATGACTTAGGCTTTTCCCTTAGGAAGGTGTTGATACTAGTTGAAGATACTCATAAAGACGTGCTTGTCATTTTATCTGTCAGATGTGTGAGAGTTACCTTAAACATTAGCTGTGGGGTTTCTGATATGGCATAATGTGGCACTGATCTGATCAATGGAATAAATATCTTTAATCAAGTATGATATTATTGACTGTACTTAATATTAGTTTCTAAACTCTGCATTTTCCTAATTCTAAAATATTTAGGAGACACCTCCAGGATGTTTAGAAGAACAAAGAGTTACGATAGCCTGCTGACTGCCTTGATTAGTGCTGGAATCCGAATTCTTTTCAGTTCCTGTCCAGAAGAAACTGCAGAGTTGCTAAAGGAACTGTCTTTATTGGAACAGAGGAAGAATGTTGGTATTCAGGTTCCAACAGTAGTAAATGCAAACAGTCATAAATGGGACGCACTTCAGTTTTATCTAAGTATTCCCAATATAAGTTATATAACTGCACTGAATATGTGCCACCAGTTTCCATCTGTGAAAAAAATGGTTAACAGGTATGTCTTTTAATAAAAATTTTCAAATGGTTGCTTTTAAATGATAGATTATTTCAGTCAGTGAATATTTTTGAGGGTCACCATGTATCAGTCACCGTATGCAGCTAAGGAAGTTGATGAGAGATAGCATTGCCTTCGGGGATTTGCTTAGAGCTCTGTGGGAGAGAAAACAGACCAGCCCTTACATTTATCAATTCTATACCTAGAAACACTAAAGAATTCTGATTATTTCATTATTCTAATGCTTAAAACAGGAATATTTTAGCAAAGTTCATTTTATTAAACCAAAGACCCATGATGAGACTTGAAGTTGTGTGTAATGTTTTTATTTTTTAGCTCACCTCAAGAACTCTCCATGTGTGCACAAGTAACTCATCAAAAGGCTGAGGAGATACATAGCTATATTCACTATTCATTTGACTTGCAAATGTTGCCAAAGCCTTAAGCCATTTAACTGGAATCCGTGTATGAACAGGCTCCCAAGATGATCAACTTCAGGAACCATTGTTGCTTAATGATCGTCAGTTTAAAATATTTTAAATACTAATATTTCTACACCTCCAAAAGATATATAGTGTATGTTTTTATTTATATAATTTATTTGAGAAAACATTTCTGTTCAGTAACCATTTTGATGTTAACTAGTTTATGAAATAGTGTTTTGTATTGAATAAAAGTTTATCAAAATGCTATTCAGGGTAGTTGAAGAGATGTATTTTTCTAAAGATTGATGTACTCTTTGTTTGATAACATAATGAATTGATGTGTCTATGACAGCTGCCAACTGTCATTAACAATCTAGTCTATAGAAATATATTATGTAGAGTATTTTAAGTATACCAGTAACTAAACTACAAAAGTAGATAAATGTTCTCATAACAAGGAAAGTAAAAACTGAAGTCTTTCTCAAAGGTATTAAGTACACCGGATTCCTATTAATACGCACTCCAAGGGACTTTACTTCTTTTTAAATTAACATTTTATTGGGAGTGCTTACAGATATTATAACAGTCTACAATTCAGTTAGATCAACATAATTGTACAATTGTTGCCATCATCAGTTTCAAAACATTTTCTTCTTGAACTTTTTCATATTAGCTCCCCTTTATCTGCTCCCTTCCCAATTCTAACCCCCAGGAATCATTATTACATTTTATATTATTATTTGCCATACCTTAGACCATCCAGTGTATCCATTCTCCTACAATTGTTATTTGTTCCCCTTGGGTGTGGCATGCACTCATCATTGCTCTCAGTAGCCCCTCCCCCTTTCTCACCCCTCTTCCTGTACAGAGGGAATCATTAGTCCCATTAACTGTTTCTGAACGGTCTATCTATTTTGGATTTCTTAGATTTATCTCTCTTGGGTTTCATTCATCGAACAATCTTAATTATACAAATGAACATATGCAGATCTAACCAGATTAATGAGGTAAAACAGACCATAATAATAAGGGGGGAAATATTAAAGAACTAGAGAATAATTATATGTTTCATCAGTGCTATACTGCACCGTGGATATAGCTTCCCTTTCGTGTGGTCCTACACTGAGAGACTGTCCAATTAGCTTGCAGGTGGGTTTTTGGTCTCCACGTTGTCTATGCTCCTTATGACAATTTGATGGCTTGTTTCTGAACTTCTGATACCTCTTCCTGTTGACACCTCATGATCACACAGCTGGTGTGCTTCTTCCATGTGGGCTTTGTTGCTTCTCAGCTAGGTAGCCATTTGTTTACCTTCAAGCCTTTAAGATGCTATATATTTTAATAGCTGGGCACCATCAGATTTCTTCACCACACTCACTATGCACCCATTTTGCCTATCGCGGTTGTCAGGAAGGTGAATATCATGCAGTACCACATTATTACAACAAACTGTTCTTATACTGAGGTAAGATTTAAATAGAGGTCCAAAGCCCATCTGCATCCTTGTGTATATATATATATATATGTGTGTGTGTGTGTGTGCGCACACACACACAGGTATAAAGGTATAATGGCGGGAAGTGAAGGCACTAGATCACTCCATCCCTGAATGCAGGAAGAGCAATGGGGTGTTGTAGAAGGTGCACTCCTCAGTCATGAATGATGAGGACTAAAAGGGTATAAGTGCTGTTTTAAGTGGGTCCCAGAATATGGAACCCTGAAAGAAAAGGCGATTGGACTGATGGATTAATACAGGGCCTGCTCACTATTTATCAGAGACATTCATCTACTCTGGGTCAGGACAACAGATTTGGAACTATTTAGTCTCTTTTTATTTTTTTCCTTTTGGTGTCTATGTAAGATATGCAGGATAAGCAATCTCAAGGAGACAGCAACCGGATTGACGGGGCAGGGGAAAAGCAAGGGAACTAAAACTGACAGGAGGGTGTAGTGTTCCTGGTTGTGTTTGATCAATTGAAATGTATCTGAGAGGAGTTACTGAGAGGTGAATGATGGGTAAACATGATTGTGGGGTAGGAGGAAAGAAAAAATAAAGTAAAAGTTATATATATAAGTATATGTGTATATGTAAATATGTATAGGTACTTATGCTGTTGAAATGTCATAGGCAAAGAATATATTGGCTTTTACTTGGAAAGTCTTAAAGAGATGAACTATTGAATTTGAACTTTCATATTCACCCACTGAATTGTGTCTGTGGTACTATTAAGAGGAGGAAGCTTCAAAAAGTATGGAAAAGGTAGTGGATGGACTTTGGGCCTGTACTCAAGTTTTCCCTCAACACAAGAACACTTGGTTCTAACAATCTGCCAATGGGCGATGCCCCCTTTCCCGATAGGATCACTGAAGACAAACTGGGTGCATAAGCAAATGTGGCAAAGAAAACAGATGGTGCCCAGCTATTAAAAGTGTCCTCCCCGCTCCTACTACTATGACTCGAATTCGACCTTGAAAGTCTGGCTAGACCAGAGGATGTACACTGGTAAAGATAGGAACTGAAAATACAGGGAATCCAGGGCGGATGATCCCTTCAGGACCAGTGGTGTGAGTGGTGAAACAGGGAGGGTAAAGGGAGAATGGGTAGGAAAGCGAGAACCGATTACAAGGAACTGTGTGTGACCTCCTCCCTGGGGAACAGACAACCAAAAAGTGGGTGAAGGGAGATGTCGGTCAGGGAAAGATATGACAAAATACCAATTTGTAAACTATCAAGGGCTCATGAAGGTGTGGGGAGTGTGGAGTGTGGGGAAAGATGAGGACCTAATGTCGGGGGTTTAAGTGGAGAGAAAATGTTTTGAGAATGATGTACAAATGTGCTTTACACAATTGATGTGTGTATGGATTGGGATAACAGTTGTATGAGCCCCTAATAAAATGTTTAAAAGAAGAAAAAAAAAAGCGTAGCATCTGGGGTTTTAAAAATTTGAAGCCAAACAAGTGGCCATCTAGCAGGGAATCAACAAAACCCACATGGAAGAAGCACACCAGCCTGTGTGATCATGAGCTGTCACTGGGAACAGGCATCTGAAGTTCAAGAATAAACAACCTCATTGAGGTGGAGAAGAGGGGCCGTGTAGAGACCCAAAGTCCATTGGGGATAGATGGACATTCCAACACAGAAGGGAAGATACATTCAGGGGGCAGTATAGCACCCACAAAACACTTTTCTAGGTCCTTAATCCTTCCTTCCTCCCACTATTATGATTCCAGTCCTACCTCACAAATCCAGCATAAATACATTGGTATAGAAAAGAGCTTTCAATGTACAGAATTCAGGGTATACAAACCCCTCAAATAGTTACAGGGGGGAAAAAAGTTACAGGGAGTATCGACGAGGGTAGAGGAACGAAAGGAGTCTGGGGAAGGAGAGACAGCAATTATGGCAAACTAACTCCCCTCGAGGGGTTGTAGGTGAAGGGATAGAAGGATGGTATAAGATAAATAATACCAGGGTTGTAGGTGAAGGAATAGTAGGATGGTATAAGATTAATAGTAATACATAATAAGGGTTTGCGAGGGTGGTAGGGTGGGGGAGGGAAAAAACTGATTTCAGGGGGCTCAAGAAAGATAATGCTTTGAAATGGTTGATGGCAATGTTTGTATATTTTTACTTAATATAATGGATGTGTTTGTATATATTTACTTAATATAATGGATGTGTGGACTGTTATATGTAAGAGCTCCCAATACAATGATCTATTTTTTAAAAAGGAATGAAAGGGAATTTTTCCATGAACTTTTTGAAGCCCCCCCCCCATAAATGATTGCTTTATGTTTATATTCTAAAACATGAGGCTTTTTCTTCAAGTCAGTCAAATGCTACAGTAGCTTTTAATTTTATATACCCCTCTACCCACAAAGACACAATTTAGTCTTTTATTTTAATATTGGGGAGTTGAACCAACCTCATAGCAGAGCTTTCCTCAACTTAGAGCTTTTGTGGACTTCAGAGTTCTAATTTAAATCACGTCCTTTTTCTTCTCAGATGCCAAGCGAGGCCCAAACAAGTGTCTGAGTCAAATCTAGAAACAGAAGCCAGGTACTAGATTCTGTTCTCTTTTCACTTGTACAGTGAATTTTACTCTTAATTCCACGCTTGGCTTATTAAAAATAGAATAAATTCTCAATGCTTCTAAAAGCACCTCTCATGTATATGTTGTTGTCCAATAATACTGTCAACCCAGACAGCAAAGAAACTGTGATTGGCCACTGTGCAGCTGCAAACTTAGTAACCCTCAGATGCAAATGACCCCTTTAGTACTTGCTCTGCTGTAATTATAAATTTTGAGCATTCCTTGTTTAGCAAGGTGCTAAGCTTTCTCGGAAGAGGGAAGGCGGCTTTTCCTGATTCTGTTGGGCTACATTTTGCTGCCCCTGGCTCCAGCTGCAGGCTGTTAAAGGCACAGCTGGGGACACATGGCAGTGCTCTGCTGGAGCTGCAGAGAGCAGCCCTGTGGTTACCTTGCACCGGCCTGGGTAGGATGACACCTTGTAGGCCCTTCCACCCAGACACCATGTACTCAGACTCCCTCTTTTTATCTATCCAGCAGATGAATATTATGTAAAGTATCATGGTGTGACGGACACAGCCAAGAAGACTTCAGTTACTTTTACTTGCTGTTGGAGTTTTCCCTGTCCATATTTAGGACTGCAGGAGCCTCCCTCTGTGACTTTAATGTTAGCCCTTTACTACCAACCTTTTAATCCAATCCATCTGATCAGTTTAGTCCTTTTAAAAAACATTTTTATTAAAAGATCGTTTTATTGGGGGCACTTACAGCTCTTACAACAATCCGTACATCCATTGTATCAAGCATATTTGTACATATGTTGCTATCATTATTTTCTAAACATTTACTATTTGAGTGCTTGGAACCAGCTTTTTCCCTTCCACTCTTGTGACCCCTTGATTAGTTTTATATCTTACACTGACTGCTGTCTCCCTTCTCCCATGTTTTCTGTTCATCCCCCTGGTAGGGTGTGTGGTTGTGTTGCTCATTGCAACCAATTCCTCCTTCCTCCCCTCTTCTCACCTTCCCCCTACCCTCCTGGTATCACTATTCCCTTTTCTGGACTCTGTGTGCTGTGAGTGTTGTGTCTTTTAGCTGTACCTGTGTACAAGCTCTGGTCAAGCCTCAAGTGAAAGGCAGAACTGGAGTCATGACATTGGCGGATGATGAAGCTTCATGGTACCAGAGGAATATTGTACGTTTCATTGGTGCTATCAAACCCCTTGATTGACTCATCCCTTCTGTGAGGGGATGTCCCATTGTCTACAGATGGGTTTTGGGTCTCTGCTTGGAGCCCCCTCATTCTCAACAATATGGTTTTGTTTTGGGTCTTCTGATTCCTATTACCAATCCGGTTGACACCTCATGATAGCACAAGCTGATGTGCTTCTTCCATGTGGACTTGTTGCTTCTCTGCTAGATGGCTGCTTGTTTAATTTCAAGCCTTTAAGACACCAGACGCTATATCTTTTGATAGTCTGTTACCATCCGCTTTCTTCACCACACTTGCTTATGCACATGTTTGTCTTCAGTAATAGTGCAGGGAGGGTGAGCATCACAGATGCCAAGTTGTTAGAACAAAGTGTTCTTGTGTTAAGGCGGGGCTTGAGCAGAGCCCACTACCTGTATATTTCCATATAAATATATGTATGTAGACCAATACCTCTATTTTTATGAATTAATGTATTTACATACATACACACCTATGTTTATACCTCTATCCATTACATTGCTTCCTGGATCTTTCCTGTTTCCTTTGTCCTTCCTCCTGACGCACCATCACGCTCGCCCTGCTTCTGCCTTTTAGTAATACCTCTAAGCTAGATGGCTGTTGCTCCAAACCCCAGGATCTCCGTTAAGTCCTCGAGCCCTGAAAGTCTTTTCCACTTTTAAGTGTTCTTTGGAAGTTGCCTTAAACCTTACTAGCTTATTCTATGACTTGACGGGACTAAAACTTGATACCTGGCAGGTGAGATGACAACAGTGTAGACGGGAAGGAAAACAGACTAGGATGCCATAGGGATTCTGACATAGTGAATATGGGGGCTGGGTGTCAGACTTCCAGACTGGGTCAAGTACATGTCTTTTCAAAAAATTAAAAAATTTTCTATTATGGAATTTGAACACTATAAAGCCTAAAATACTCTACTAACTTCAAGCAGCATACTTTTTATAGAAAATATTGACAACTCTAGTTTTATACTCCGTAGTAGCACACTAAAATAACCCTTTCATATGTTCCACTTGCACGTAGGAAGTGTCTGGTAAAAGGATTCATGGTTTATAAAACAATTGTCCAATCATACTATTCTTTTTTTTAACTTTGTGCTTCTGTAAATTCTATGACAACATGACTACTGATTATTACTACTCAATAAAAAAGAAAATGTTAATTTTTCTAAAAGTTCATATATTTTAAAAAGGAAGCTTAAATTGGGCCACTAACATGCATGTTTGTTTCCTTTCTATGATCAAATAGTTTAAAAGATAACCAAAGCACAAATGCTGTAAAAATAACTAACTTTATTTAAACACTAACTAAAGAGATGGGCGAGGTGAATATATACTATAACCACAGAGCAAATTTTGAAACAGAATAAGCTGAAAGAAATATGCTCAAAAGGGCTTCTCCTTTTCTGAAGGAGCTGTCAGTCAAAGGTATGTTAACTTGATATCTTGCATGGGGAGATCTATTAATTGAATTTGTCTAATTTTTTAAAAACTTCTTTAAATAAGCTTGAAGAATATAATACATTTGTTCTCTGATTCTAGCTAACAAAATACTGGAAAAAAACTTTTAAAATTATATAGATTTTAGGAGAAAAGTATATTAGTTTTCATTTATAATTTAAATATTAGATTAACTCTAGGCTTAGGAATCCAGTATTGACAATGTTAATTTAAAACTGTCATGAATTTAGTAGCTACCAGAACAATGTATCTTTCATTTCCTCCTACTTATCAACAGTAACATTTAAAAACTGTTTGGAATAAAATTTTCCCATGCAAACAGACGTACATGCTTGTAAGAGACATATCTAAATATGTTTTAATCATATAAAAATAGCATTTTATAAACAAAACAATTTTCCTTATATTTTTAGTAAACAGCAATGAGGAATACAGAAAAATTTTACTTTGAATACAAACACTTGAAATCTTTAAAAAGAAGCCCACATTTTCACACAAAACTATATTACAAAAAATACATGTACAACAAATGAACATACACATGCATTGTCTATTATAAAAGTCCTAGGTATTTTCATATTTTTACTCTCCAGAGTCAGAGTTGGAAAAATAATAATCTTCTTCTTCATCATCTAAAGATTCCATCGCATCTGTAAAAAGTTGTCCAATACCTGAGGTATCTCCTAAATTTGCAAAGAGAAATTTAATGGAAAGGATTTATATATATATTTATTTATATTTTTGTAATATTTATATAATATATATTTATATTTAAAGTAATGATCAATGAAGTTGAAAACAACTATGTGGGAAAAAATGATAGGTCTGTTTACACAACAAAAATTAATTTTACTTAACATCTAAGTAATAGAACCAAGTTACAAAGGAAAGATAGATTACCTTTGCTAAACTGGGTTTTTCTTCTTGATGTTGGGGTCAAAAAATCAGTTTCAACCTATAAGAGAGTTCATAGTCCCATTAGCTAAATGGTGTGTTTTGTGAAGTGTTCCAAACCTAGACAAAGGTAAGCATGCTTTATCATCTGAATACTTTAAACATATGCCTATAACACCAAATCTTTGAGTTATAATTCTCTTTTTAATCCAGGGAGGTACTGTACTATTCAATGTTGCGGCCCCTTTTGGGCAGACATGAGTAAAAGAAACCAAGACATAAAATGAAATGGTTAAAGCTACTAAAATGTACAAAGTATTTATTTTACTTGAATAGTTTATAGCTAGCAAACAACTCAAAATATAAACAAATAATTTATCACTATTAAAAGCATAGTGATTGTGGGTAAAAGGCTACATTTGAAGGATTACCATGCTAATTTTAAATTCTTGGCTAAAATGGTATTATGTATATGGAAAGCTTTGAGTATACACATTTTTCTCAGTTCTCAACTATTTATCTGGCATTTTGCATTTACAATACTGGTAATAAAATCTAGCAGTGGGGCTATGCCCCCACTACTCATCCTCTGGGTGATTAGTGGCGCGAAGCCCCAGCTGCAGAGGCAGAAGCACACTAGAAGCTGCCTTTCCCTCATCTGAGCAGCTTCATTGTTGCACCTTCCCAACACCAGCAGATAGCTCTAGCTCTTCCCAACACCAGCAGATAGCTCTAGCTCTTCCCAACACCAGCAGATAGCTCTAGCTCTTCCCAA